GAAATTGCAACAATTTAGAGGGTTCGGCAATTCAGTTTATGCAAATATAGTTAAATTAGGTTAATAGAATATAGCGGTAGTGGTTGTTAAAAAGAAGGGTTTAGAGTAGAATATAACATTGAAATATATATATATATATATATATATAAAGGAAAAAGAGATATTCCTAAGACCCATAAATCTCTTACAAGAGAGATTCCCACACTTGTTGGTTCCGGCACTATACATAATAAAAATACACAATAAAGAGATGAATAAAGATTTTTTCACTTTATGATGATACCTCATTGATATCAAGATTTTATCCGAATTCTCAGATGTCTATAATTATGATTTGTTTTTAATTAGATTTACTCTCTTAAATAATAAAATATACAATTAAAAATTATAATCTTTATAACTCACTCAATAGCATTTAGAATGATTGAATATTTATAAGTGTAATAAGCGTGAGGTTTATACTCTTGTGCTAGAATATAGAAATTTAATTTAGCATTATTTAAAGTATGATATGATTGATGATTTCTAGTTGGATTTTTTTTAGAATAGCTTTTATATCATATATGTTTAGAATCTCTTTTCAATTTAGCATAAAATATAGCTATGTATATGTTTTCAAAAGAAATTATCGTTGAAAACCTCTAATGGCTAAAATGGTTGACTAATTCAAATGACCATATCATTCGGTCAACTTATTCCTATAATATTTCTAGATGTTCATCACTAATAAATAACGATCGACTAGTTCACTTTGTATGCTCAAGCAAATGATTGGTTCAGTTTAAAAACCAATTTTAGTAGTTTTAAACCTAGCAAAACTTAAACCGATTAAATGTCAAAGCAATTTTATCTATACATGCAATGTGAAGTGTGTAAGTTCATTTAAGTTTTTTATTGAGTAAGATATATAAATTTAACAAAATATATTAAAATAAATCTTTAAGAACTAAGTTTTCACTTGCTTTGCATCTTCGATTTATTGATAAATTTTTTCATGTAATTCCTTATGTTTTTTATGTGATCTTTATATAGATCTTTTTAAATTTAATTTTATCCAAATATATTATTAGTCCATTTTATTTAATTATTATTATCAAAATATATAAAATACTAATATGTGGCCTAAATATCAACAATTAAATGATTCAGACCAGTACAAAAAAAAAAGTAATTTGTAATTACCAGGCCTTCATTTTCTGCATATATTGCTTCAACAAAGGGATCTCAAAGATATTGAATGAGGCAATATGAGAGTTTTACTGGGGACAAATAAAAATTGACCAAGTCAAGATTGATCACAAAGTGAAGAAAAAATGTTAATATTAGTTTATTATCTATACAGAAGCAAAAATTGACTATGATCTCATAGCTGGTGGAAACTACAAGTACTCTAGCTAGCTAGTAAAATGATGTATTATCATAAAAAAAGAATTTATACTTGATAACCTTTATTTCATGCATGAAACAAGGTTAAGCAAAATATTGGCTAATGTTATGGTTGTTTGTTAGCAAAAGAAAGATATACCTTATGACATAAATACAAGATCTAGTCAAATAATTCACAAATTATTAGATTAAGTCAAGTTATATGCAGTTGCATAATATTAAAGACTTGCATATCCCAGAAGGAGATAATATTAAGCTGGAGTAGTTTATGAAGTTCAGATGATTAATTAGTATTTATATTTAAGAAGACATTGTTTAAAGAAGAGTCTCTCATCACTAAGCTGAGTATTGAGCTTAAAAAATAAATTGTTGAGATAGGAAAATATTTTCTAAATATAAAAAAACAAAGAAATTGTGTTTAAAATCCTAGTTCAACTAGTTAATTAAAATTCTTATTGAACTAGTATTTAAAAAACATTTTCAAGATTTCTCGTTTTAGAAAGTGGGTGTCACGATAGAGGAAGTAGTGGCCACGGTTCACATAATAAAACATTCAAGTCATCTTCAAGAGGTTACAAAAACTTGAACTCATCATGAGCCATGCCGTCTCTCTACTTTCTGAACTGCCGATCTCTTCCTCTCATTGATTTCCTGTGGGCAAGTATTTCTGTAAAACTTTCCGAGGACTATACTGTTTGAGCGCGCTCAAGGCCTCGGGCTCTAAATTAATAATTCATACGGTCCAAAACATCGCTCTCCTGCTCCGTGCATGTTTCAGACGAGGAAGAAAAGAACACAGAGAGAGCAAAAAATCGGGGAAAAAGGAAGTGATGCATGAGCAAATTATTTTACATGTGTAACAGTGTAAGGATTAAGGTGTCTGCTAAGAAATAAGTCAACAAAACAAATATATATAGCCCTTGTTAATTGACTTGTGCATCTTTGTGGCCAGGGACCCAGGCTTCTGTTAAGTGCAAATCGGCTTCCTATTCCCTATTGTTTTTTCACCGGCCGACACTCTGGTATCATGTGTTCAAGAGGGTGTTTAGCAATAATTAAGTTCTTTAATTTCGGACATAAATCTAAATCACTTGATACAGTTGGAGGTGCTTTTTGATTCAGACGATGATTTTCAGTACTCTACTTTTGTTATTTTTTTAAAGGATTTGGAAAAATTGTTAGATATGTACCAAAATTAATTATTCTTCTAGAAAATCTAGAGGAATATCTTCAATCTAAATTCTTCTACTCGCACCATCATTAGATATCATCGATCCTTCAAAATCATGGGCTCCGTGAAGCAGAATTAATCAAATGTTCTTTCAGCTAAGATTTACTTTTAGTCAACTCCCAAATCTCACGTAAAAAGCAGATTAAGTTCCTAATTAATCTATAAAGGAGGCCCCGAATTCAACTACTTGGGTTAATCTGAAGATTACCCGTACAAGTCCCCACCGCTACTACTTGGAGCGTTGGAATGGATCCCGGCCGGCGGGATCATGTCGATAACAGTGTATCTTTATTATTGATTCCTTTGCTGAACTGGCAAATTGTGTAATAGTTAAAAGAATTAAAGAACAAAGGCTTAGATATTAATTCAGTTTAAGAGTAGAGTTTGTTTGGAAATGTGGTGTAAATTTTATTTTTTTAATTTTTTTTTGTTTTTATATTTTTTATATCATTTTGATATATTAATGTTAATTTAAAAAAAATATTATTTTAATGTATTTTTAAATAAAAAATATATTAAACTGTAATTACTATTATATTTCCAAACATATCCAAAATCTATTGAGGAGGTAATTAATGTATGATTTATATTGTGATGCAGAGTTTTTTTAAAAATATATTTTAAAAAAATATCAAAATTATTTTATTTTATTTTTAACATCAATCCTTATGATTTTTAAAAGTATTGTTCTAATTTAATTTTAAAAGCATGCTGTGAAAAAAGTAATTTTTAAAGCATGTTGTAATGATTGTGATTTTTTACTTTATAAGCATGAGGATAAACCATGAAAAAAAATGGAGTAGAAATTAAAAAATGAAGGTTACTTAATTCGTAGACCAAGACCGGCTGGATCTTCTATTTAAGTCCTTGCATTTTCACGATTTATATAAACAAATGAATTAGTCAACTAATATTATTATTTACAGTGTAGAAATAAATAAAAAATTATTGATACAAATCATGAAAGGTGGAAAATAGACATACAGGACAACCTAACTCCTGTTGTTTTTACATCAACCCTAACCCTAACAATTATATAAGCAGCCATGTACATGGTAGTATTAAGATTCTAATACCGGTTATTTTTTTAAAAAATTAATTTAAAAATATATAAACTAATTTTTTTTTAATTTTTAATTTTTTATATTAACATATTAAAACAAAACAAAAATATTATAAAAAATAATTTATAACAAAAAAAAATAAAAAAACACAACATATATTCTATACCGCAGAAATAAACAGACCCATTAACAGAAAAAGATTCCTATAAAGATATTGACTATTCGAATAACAATCACAGAAGGCTACGTACATGCATCATTGGAAAGTATTTTGGGTTTGGCCAATGAAGAACAGATGGGGCTAGCTATTGACCGTGCAGATAATAATCACACATAAGGGACTGTACTATCAAGAAAGAAAAGATATCCATCAGATCATCAAGAGCGAACAAAAATTAGACACTGGAATAGGGTTTCATAGTATTCCTGAAAGGAAATTGTGGCCTTTCTGATAAAAACTAGGGCAGGTAGATGGAGAAATATTGATTTAATTGTCCGGCTCTGATATATAATTAATTTTTAAATTACTCTGTATAAAGAGACAAACTGCACGTACACTCACAAAGACACATGCCTAAAAGAGAGAATTTAAGGGGGGGGTGGTAGATGAATGATGGAACAGAGAGGGCGCAGGCAAATTAGGCAGCAAAGCAGCAAGGATTATTTGATCATGACAAGAACAGATAAAAGGTTAAGTAGAGAGAACCCCAGTTGCTTGATTAGCAAAATAGAAGTAATTGATATGTATAGGCTACCAAGACCATCAATAATTAATCTTCAGAAAACATTGGCTTAATTAAATATTAAAAGAAATCACAAAAGAATTGGTTCCTTATAAAACATCGACTTTCAAAGAGATAAAAAGATGAGGAAAACTAAGATTCACAAAAGGTTGAATATTATAAGTGATAAGATGATCGATGGTATAAATGGAATTAAAGGGGAAAAATGGTAAAAAGAGAGGGAAGTGATGGGGATAAAGAGAAAGATATTTAAAGATGAATAGATAGATAAATTATCGTTGTTGCAGTACTTCTTCCTTTCTCTCTTTTTTGATCACTTTTTATTTAAATAAAGGAAAAGAAAGAAGAGAGACAGAGAGAATCCATGTGTTTCCAAGCACTCCCAGACAAAATGAGCTTCTGAGAAGAAAAGCAACCTTTGCTTTACGACCCAGAAAAAGGAGATTTCAAACCACCATGAGGGCTAGCATAGGAAATTGCGTGGTTAGTAACCCAACCACACCATCTCCACCTCTCTCTCTTTTTGTCATCTCTCTCTCTCTCATATGGTGGTGGCTGTCTATATTTAGGCGCAAGCTGGGGGTGCAAGTACAACCCCACATCTTTCCTTCTTTCCCTCTCAATATAACCACGCATAAACCCCACAAAAAGTAAGCTCATACACACCCTTCCCTAAGTCGCTGGTTCGCTTGATTTATGCCAATTCAAAAGGGCTAATTTTTTTTCGTGGGGCTTTGAAACCATTATTTGATTATGACCCGGTTTCTATTTCCCATAGATCTCTCTCCGCTCCTCCTTAAATACCACTCTCCCTCCCCTCCTCTCCTCTCCCCCTCTCTCTGCCCTAATTTTGATGCTTCACTGAAACACACCCTCTCTTCAACTTCATTGTTTATGTATGTATGGTGTCCATGGGGAAGGCAAGCTATGGTAGAAAACCTGTTACCTTCTATTTATATGCATGCATGCGCTTGTAGTTCATGCATTCATTCATGCTAAGTAGTATGCATCCATGCAATTGTGGGCTGCATAAGCTCATACACACATGCCTGCATGCTTAGTAATGCAATATAACGGATGCATACATGCATGTTTTAACCATCATGCATCCATATATATATTATATGTGCCTGGCTCCCTGTATGCCATTTGCAGAGCCCACCGGTTCTTCGATGGCCTCCGTGGATGGCGTATGAGGAGCCATGCATATTCACATGTATATTATCCATGGTTTTCACTTGCAGATGGAAGATTTATACGGGCTTTTAGTCCAACTTTGAAGGCTAGATTCTGTAAGGGTAGCATTGTAATTTTCAAAAGAAACAGGTTCTCTCTGAAAGCGAAGGTACATGTTTATCCTCTTCTCTTCGAAACATCACCCCTGTATAGTTTTTAGGGTTTTCATGATGTGATGTTGATCTAAAGGCTTTGCAGGAGAAATTATTTTAACATGACTAGCCACTACCCTTGTAACGAGGGATCTGATTAGAAATCTTTTTTTTTAGCTCTCAAGATATCACTGTGGACGAATTATAATTGTTTGTACCTGACAACATAGGAGTTGCATTATGCCATCCATCTCATCATCTGGCTACATGCTTGTCTCAAGAACATGTCATATGACCTAAAGTCACGGTGGCATGTCCTATAAACTTAGACCATATATAAAAAATGGGGGGAGAAGAGACAGATCATCATGATCACAATGTATAGCCTTTGTTCTTTGATAATGGGAAACAAGACTGACGAAAACCCTATGTCATTTGTGCTATAGCTAGCTAGTGTCCAAGTTGATTTGAGCTGGTGTCGATTAATATCAAATAATTGCTTTGTCTTATTAAGAAGTTTCATTGTCTTCTGCTCAATGTTTGGCTTTGAATGTTAATCTACTTTTTGTTGTCTTGACTTCCCTTGTGATTTTGATTAACCACCATGACCACAACTAAATCTAGGTCTTGTTTTTGCTTTTCTGTGCCTATATATGGTTACTATTAATTTTCTTTTTACTGATATAGAAGGCATATATATATATATATGTATATATATGCTAATTGCTGGTTAAATCGTTTGAAAGGGAAGGGTCTGTGATTTGTATTTAACAAAAACAACAATTAGTACTCCTATTATTAGTCAACACTAAAAGGTTGCTACTGAAGTTGGCTTAATTAGTAGCCCAAGTGTGTAGAAACTTCGCTTTCGGGTATGTAGCTTGACAATGTGCAATGACAAAAGGAACTTGGAAAGGTAACTCCATTCAAGCTATCTCTATAGTATAATGGGTCTAGAGAACAAAAGCTGCAAGGCTTTTTTCGATTTTGTTTGTGGATACAATCATCCATTCCATTAACCAAAGAACAACCTTTTACCATCCTTTTCTTTTTTTCTTTTTTTGCTATAGATGGATAGTTATAAGTATAGTTGTGTCCAAGAGATTCTAGCTAGCTCTCCTGCTATAATAAATCAAAAGCAAAAGACTAGTTAAAGTACTTGAAGATGAATAACTACACAAAGGGTTAGATCGAATTAATATGAGTACTATGATTGTCCTTGTTTTCCACAGGAAAAAAAAAACTAATACAGAGTCTAGTGATATCACCTGCATGCCCCGATATAATGAACACAACCTGCTTTAGGTTTATCTGCATCAAAAGTAGATGCGTAATCATGCTAGCCACGCACGTCCGGCCAGGGATTCAAGAAAGAAAAAGAAGTGTGGATTGTGGGGAAAGTAAAGTAGTGAGGGTGCTGCAGCAGATTGTGATTATAGCGACTAGGGAATCTCATACAAAAAGAAATGGACCCTCTTCCTCTCTGTCACTTTCTCATTGGCCACTAGAGAATATGCTATACAGTCAAAGCAGGTCAAAAGGACACTAGTCAGGCCACATGAGGGACCACATTGGAGATCTACTGTTCAAATGGGATCTTTTAAAAAAATTAAGACGGTAAATTAAAAGTTTTTTCATAAAAAAATATTAAAAAAATAAAATAGCATATTTTTAAACTGTTATGCTTCTTGAACATGATATTTATATAATTGTTGTAATTTAAAATAATAATATTTAAATATATTGCACTTTGAAGTGCAACAATTGTCATATGATGATTAGTTGTAGTTGAATATAGTTATATAATTAATTGATCGATTATTTTATAATTTTTTTATTTACATATATTTTATGAGTAAAAATCATTATAAAATTTTACAGTTTACCAACAAAAATATCATTTTAGTATGTGATTAAGAGTTTGTCGGTAATTTATTTACCAATGTCCTCACCGATGGAATATTTTCGTTGACTTTCTTTTCGTTGGTCGTCCGTTGCTATAATTGTCAGCAACATAAAAAAATATTTGCTGATAGTTTTACAGATGAAAATTGCACGCAAAAAAAAAAAGTTTGGCAGGTATTATCAAATACTGATGGATTAAGTCCGTCGATAAAGTTATCGGTGAATATAAAATATCGATGGAATATATCCGTTTGTAAATTCATCGATGAATATTGTAGCTACCATCAAATGCCGATGGATGTATTCTGTCAGTAAAACTCTTTGTGATTATTTTAAAATATGTTTTTTAAAAATTATTTAGAATACATAATATAAAAATCAATTATGCGAATAAAATTTTTATTAAACATCAAAAACAAAAAATTTCTGCTGATAAAACTATGAAATTTTGTAATATAAATTTTTAGATTTTAAAAATCTCACCACGAATCCTGATTTTGATAGTTTTATAATATTTTTAATAAATTGGTTGACCCATCAGTCTTGTATTTAAATAAACATCATTGTTGTAAATTGTAATATTAATTTAAATATTTTTACAGTCTTGATATTTAATTAATATCGCAGTTCTTAACTGCAATATCTAAAAATATATTAATTCAGCAAAACTTTTTATTTATGTTATCTCATCATTTATTTTATTTGCATTTTACATGCTCATTGCTAAATTTATTGGTTGAAATGGGATGTTTAATCACTCTTTACTCCGCGTTTCTTTTCCATAATTTGTTTTTCAAAGGAAAAAAAGGGAAACACAGAGAGTCTAATAATCCACAGAGAACATTATACCCAGATTGATCGGGGAGGACGGTGAGAAAAGAAGAAGATTGTACCTTCTTTGTTAGGGCTCAGCTTGTCCACTGTTTGATGTATCAGAGAGTAAATTCTATGCTATGCTATGCCATTCTATGTCATGTCTTACCTAAGAATGGCGGTGAAACATCAAGTGTATGATGGTAACATTTCTTCATTGTTACACAAAATCATGATTTCAGGTTTGTGTTCAGAAAGAAATCTTCTTTCACATACAGAGTTATGCACGTTTATGTTGGGGCGGGGACAAGATTTATGATGTCGTTCTTCCACCAGACAGCACATTTCTCTTTTTCCTATGTTTCACGTGCATATATACCAGTGGGCTAACCTCGCATGGCGAGGGCAAAACAATTTTGTTTCCTAGATCATTTCTATATATATATATATTCAAATATTTGTTAATTAGATCATTTCTATATATATATATATATATATTCAAATATTTGTTAATTTAATTATATTATGATAATTTTGTTTGAATGTTATTATAGTTGTTATAATTATATTTATCTGTGTTCTGCTGTTTAAACAGGAATAGTAACGGATATTTTATTTATTAAAATACTTAACTGATTTTTATATAATTCTGGTATTGGTGTTTAAGTTTTTTTATTGATTGAAATTTAATATATAAAATTTCTACTCTAAAAATAAGATTTTAAAAAATATATAATATATTCATTTTCTCAATATAAAATTTCTGTGTTTGTGTTTCTTACCTGGCATTGGTAAGATGCGTTTTCCCGATGTTCTGTCATGGAAATGGTGGAACCCATATCTAGTTATCTCAAAAGCATGTTGGGTTTTGCCATGATGGGCTCTCAGATTCTTTCTCGGCGTGTCGGGTACAATTTCTGTGGAATTGGACCTCATGGGGATGCCCCTTGGTACCCTAATCTTCTTCGGAGAGTAAAAGTAGGTCAGAATGCAGCTGATGTTAAAACTCATGCGCACAGATATACTGCAAGAATCATATGAATACAGGCTTCGATCAGTTCAGAGGGGAGGGGGGGGAAAAATACATTCTCAGTTAAGTTGATTTACCTGCATCAGATCTGATCAGTTACACAAGATGATGTTGACAAGGAGAATAAATAGGGTAAGATGATGCTTCAATGGATAAAACTGCAGGGACCATAACGTCTCGAAATGTGCAGAGCAAGCATAAGATTCTTTCCATATTACGTACTTCGGACTGCATCAAGTAAATCTTAGCTAAAGAAATTAAAGAAAGACCAAAGCTGTACATACAAGATCTCATCATCCCTCTCTGTTTTTTTTTTTTTAAAAAAATTGATTTTACTTATTATATCAAATATACTAACCATTGTGCTTGGCTATTTTGTTCTTCCTATAAAAAATGAATGCCTTTGGATTTGGATTGATGCATTTTGATATTTTCACATTATTTATAAGTTTTTATTAATTTATTTACATGTATTTTATTTTTCCATTCAATGTATTTGAATTAGGTATGTCATGCAGTATTTTTTTTATAATTAACATAGTGTTCAAGTCCATTTACGTATTATTTAACTAATTTTATAAATTTTAAAGTTAACAACCATATAAATCTTTAATAATTCTAAAATTTATAAAATTTAAATTAATAAATTATTAAAAAATTTAAAATCTAACTCCAATAACTCTAAAATTTATAAAATTTACCTATAAATTTTCAATAACTCTAAAATTTATAAAATTTAAATTAATAATTTATTAAAAAAATTAAAATTAGTATGTACATTCCTAACAAATGCTTTATCCTTCTCTTTAAAATCTAACTAATTAATCTACATTCCTAACAAATGCTTTATCCTTCTCCGTAAGGCTACATTCGTCCACCGAATCCTTCAACTCAGGGACCAGACAATTCAAGACATCAATCGGGTTGACGTGTCAGAATGTCTCTTTCCCATCCACAGTCATCAACTAGCATTAAATATGTCCTTCTTCGAGCAATCTCTTGCACGATGAGGTCCACTGCAGATAAAACAACCTGCACTCGGTCTGGATTCTTTTCCTTGCCCTTCAACTTGTTTCCCTTTACCCCAGTGATCAATAGCAGGTTTAAATCCTCCACCACCAAACTTCTTCGTCATCTTATTTTCTTCCTTCTTATCCTTTATTTTGGACTTTGAAGGGCCTGCACCAGAATCATCTCTAGCAGAACTCTTGAAATCAACCATACTATATGCGGCAACAATAACAAAAGATAAATCTATTACTCTCTGTTGACGCCACTCTGCTCGCGCCTAAGATTGTAACTTGTAACCCAAACAAAAAATTGAATAGCATGTCCTCACCTAACATGTTCTCGATGTCAATGACCAATGAATTAAATTCTTTCACAAAGAAGTTGCGTCATTGAACTTCATTGATGAAAGAAACAAAAGCATAACAAGATACCAAAACCTATTTCCACAACAAATCCAAGGATTCCACCATTTTAAACTTCCTTGTATTTATAGACTCAACTTTTAATTCATGATGGGTACTATAACAAAAATCTGATTAATACAAATTACAAAAACACCAGATCAAATTAAAAATCATATAAATTTTATAATTATTTAAACTATTAAAAATATTAAATGTAATAATAGATCAAAATTTTAACAAGCCTAACCTCTCTAAAAAAAAGGTTCAAAAGACCTAAAAAAAATCTAAATATATCCTTGTGGGCTCGGGTTACCATGCCTAAAGCCAGCTTCTATCAAGATGCATGGGCTAGAGCATAGATTGTCGAGCCCATTGTTTATGCACATGGCCACTGCTGGGTGTGTTTCACAACAACCTTATAAGCTTAGACTATTATATCTAAGCCCAACATGTTTGAATCTAGATAGTGTACTTAAACTAATTTTCTTACCTCTAATAGGTTTAGGTACCTTATTCAAACTCAATACTGTCAAAATATTACAAGAATAAAATTACATTTTAACTCTTTTTCTATAAAATGACAAAACTCATAATATATAAATATTACATGAATTCTTTAAACTTAAAATTCTTAATATCTTTATTCTTAATACTTTTGAAACTACCAGCTATCAATTACACTGATTTATTTATTATTATCACCTATCAACTTTTGAATTTTTTATATCAAATGATTAAAAACTTTGATTAAATATAATAAATTAAATGATTATTCAACATAGCAATTTTATTTTTAAATATTTGAAATTTCACGACTCATCATCCGATACTCAGATATAAGATTTATTAAATGGAAAAGTTAAAGAATAGGAGGAGAAGGGGAGGAAAGGAGGTCCAATGCAATGAATTAACATCACGATATCGTAAAAGGTGTGTTTTTGGGGAAGGGTTCACGCGGAGAAAGAAAAGGACCGGTGGTTAATGATTTTTAATGATCCTGATTGATTCTTAAATATTGATATAAAAAAAAAGTTTATTTTAGAGATAAAAAAAGAAGAAGAAAGAAATAGCAAGTCCTAGGACTACCTGTCCTTCTTGATTTCTAGATATTAATTAATAATGAAAGAATAAAATAAAGGTATCAAGTTAATAAAGGATAAAAGAGCTTTCCCCTTTTTTCCAATCACTATAGGGCTTAAAAAGTTTAAAAAATAAATAAAAATAATTAAATTATTTAACATTTTTTTTAATTGTGTTCAAATTGTAGCTACCCAATATAAATAAATAAATAAATAAATAGAAGAAAAAACCACATTCCTTGTCATTAAAAAGTTACAAGAATATTTCACCCTCTCTCGTTCATTGCTTCAGTTCAATTTACAAGCTATGTTTTCAGGATCTAAGGTGGGTTCTACATCCAAAACATTTTCTATTCGCATAACCATCTTAAAAAATAAAAAGCTATCGAACGATTTTCTCCGACACAAGACAAAGAACGTCTTTTCACTGTTCACAGAGGGTACAGCCTTGGGCTGCGCCTGCCTGTGATGCTTCGCCCTGAGCTTTGTGGTTTTCTTGCTATTTTCACATCCATGATATCGATGATGAATCCTGGCTGTGTTATTTTCGTGTTGTGGATGTCGATTTCCCCTCTCATCATCTTAATTGCCTTCGACATGTTCGGTCGAAGCCCACATTTCTCCTGCACACAAAGTAAGGCAATCTTTACAAATCCAACAGCTTCTGTTTCTAAGAAGTTGCCATCTAGCATCGGATCCACTAGTTTTAGAAGGTTGTCAGCCTTGTACATTTCCCATGCCTGCATCAATCATTGTCCAGAACATGACTCCATTAGCAAATCGAAGAGGTTATTAATTACAGCAAACTTGGCCGTTTACAGCCTTGTTTCAAGTAAACAGGCAAGCCCCTTCGACCAAAAAATGAAAAAGAAAGAACATCTAGGCCCAGCACATAAATTCTTGATAGCAGACCACCGTCAATGAGTTAAAAGCCCCTTTTTTCATATAAGAGTGGATGGATCGTACCAATAATTATTTAGTATTAATCTTGGAGTTTGGAAGCAAACATATATGCTATTTACAACTGAAAAAAACAATACCTTCTCCACGAGGTTGTGCTCTCCGAGTACTGGATCGAAATCATCAGTAGCTTTCCGTCCACTGACTATTTCAAGAAGTAGCACTCCAAAACTGTATACGTCCGTTTTCCGAGTCAAGCGGCCACTAATGGCATACTCCGGAGCTAGATAACCCCTTTTACACCAAAAACGCAATTCAACATTGCATAAGCCAAAAACCCTAAAATTATTGTATAAACCCTATTCATATAAACTTGTATGTTTCTTTTTCCTTGAAATAGAGCCACAATGTAAGTGTTATGCTATATAAAATCTCTGGATCTATTTTAACATTCCATATTAACATTGATTTTCATCACAGCTACCAATTAGATAGTTTTTACACGCATGAGCTAAGCTTGTTCAATAATGTTTTCCCAATCAGTAAACCAATTACGTTATGATGAGAAGTGGGGAAACTCTACTTACAACGTGCCAGCAACTCGTGTGCTCACATGGGTGAAATTCTCAGGAAAAAATTTAGAGAGGCCAAAATCTGAAACTTTTGGACACAGATTCTTGTCCAAAAGTATGTTGCTTGCTTTAATATCTCGATGCACAATTCGAGGCTTGATCTCTTCATGAATAAATGCCAGACCTTGAGCAATGCCTAACGAAATTCCTCTCCTTGTTTCCCACCCGAATCTAGCTCTATTTTCCTCACCACCTTGAATTTTTCAAGCAAAACCAAAGCAGAATCAGTACATTGCACTGTTAATCGGTCATTGTCAAATAGTATTGGACAAGAATAAATTGGGGGGGTTAATTACCAAGCAAAGTTTGGGCAAGGCTGCCATTTTCCATGTGACTATAAACAAGAATTTTGCAAGGACCATCAATGCATCCACCATGCAAGTTGACAAGATTTTCATGGTGAATATTGGACACCGAAGCTATTTCAGACATGAACTCCCTGTGTCCTTGCTTTGATTCTGCTGAAAGCATTTTGATGGCAACGACTCTCCCGTCTTGCAGTACTCCCTTTAGATCCCAATAACATAACATCATCAACAAAATAACCTCACCACATTATGTTGTAAATCAGAGTACATGTGATTGAACAAGGTATTTACCTTGTAAACAGAGCCGAATCCACCTTCCCCGATTTTATTTGATGAGCGGAATCCATTGGCGGCGACTTTCAATTCATCAAATGAGAAAGCATGAACATTTTGAAGAATTTGCAAACCTGTAATTACCATGAGTAGTAATTGATTAGATCACAGAAAAGGACACAAGAAATAAAATACCCGTAATCATAAGAAAGATTAATTAATTTTAATTCTCTAATTATTTTTTTTTATCATTTGTGACATGAGCAACTAGATATCCAATGCTGCTTCTTAATTTAAAGACCTTGTAGTTTAAGTCAATACCTTGCATTGATGGACTATCAGTGGACATATCAGATGAAGAAGAGAAGCATTTTGAGCAAGAAAAGGAGAACCTCATGCTGTTA